AAAAAAAAAAAAAAAAAAAAAAAAAAAAAAAAAATCTATAAGTAATTCTAATATATACTACAAGATAAATGTCCAAAGAGAAGTACTGAGAAAGTATAATTTAGAAAAGGATTCGATTCACAAAAGGAATCAGAGCATCAGGAAAAGCTTCATAAGGGAGACAGGTAATATCTGGAAGAGACCTTGAAGACGGTCATTTCCAAGGAGAAAAGGGTACTGCGGTCAGTACGGTAGTTAATATCTTGGACCCTAGAGATACACAGCCTGGGTTTGAACCCCAGTTTTGCCAGTCTCTAGTCTGGTGACTTTGGGTGAATTACTTAAACTCTCCAAGTCTCTATTTTCATCTCTTATAAAATATGAAGACAGGTAAGAGAATTAAATACATTTATACATGAAGAGAGCTTTAAACAGTGCCCAGCACTTAGCACTGTAAAAGTATTTGCTATTGTTATTACTGAGAAAACAACAAAGAGTTTGTAGAGGTGAGAGTAATTAAACCTGTTGGGTGAAAGCAAATAGTCCAGCTCAGTTTAAGCACACTTCCTCTTTTGGATCAGCAGGTGGCATGGAAGTTAAGTTGGCTGGATCTCCCATGGTCCAGTCCACAGTTCAAGTCTTGGAATCGATGGCCCTAAGATGCACATGCATGATCAAAATGGGAAAGGAGAATGGAGGAGAGGGAATTGTGACATAGCCATTGTCCCTAAGGCATGATTTCTCACTTTCCCTCTCTTCTTTAGTTTAGAGAGAGATTTTTGCTATAGGGTGCATGTGCTTGCCAGAGGGACAGAGAGACAGAAAGTGAGAAATCAGCCACCCAGGGAGGATGGCCATACTGCCATCCCTTCTCCTCCATTCTTCTCTTGGAACTTTGGGCACAAACGCACACATGCCCAGTGTGAGTTTAAGCCGCCAGGACCAGGATTTGAACCGTGGTCGACTACGGGGGAGTTCAGTGACATAACCATTATGCCATCTGCTGGTCCCTCACTTTCCCTCTCTTTGTGTCTCTCTTTGGCAAGTGCACACATCCTATAGCAAAAACTAAAAGCAAAACAAAACAAAAAACCTTCTTCTTTCTATATCTCCTTTCTCAAAACCCAGCTATATAAAATGCTAGCCAAGCACCTGTCACATAGAGGATAGGTAGTAAATCTTCGCCCTCCCATTCCCCTTTCTCTCTGTTTTCACACCTGGCTTATTATGTTCTCTTAACACACTTAAATTTTGCCTTGTATTACAATTATTTGTTATTACATTATCTGCCTCTTGTACATTTCCTAAGGGCAATGGTTACTTTGTATACCCTAACCCTAGACCCCAAACCCAGGTGTGGATGAGAAGCTCTTGGAGAACTTTAAAAATATGTCAATTCTGTGGGGCTGGCAGGTGGCATGGTGGTTAAGTCCAGCGACTCCCACATGGCCCATTATGGTTCGAATCCCAGACCTGGTGGCTTGCTTTGTTACTTTCTCTCTCTCTCTCTTGCTCTCTCTCTCTCTCTCCTTCTCTGGTCAAATTAAAATAAGTATAAAAAAAAAAAAAGAAGTTAAATAAAATAATTTTTTAAAAATTAATTCTGGAGCCAGCATGTGGCATGGTGGGTAAGGTGCTGGATAAATTACTTAAACTCTCCAAACTTCTATTTTCATCTCTTAGAAAATAGGAAGACAGGGAAGAGAATTAAATGCATTTTTAACAGCTGACAACAGTTTAAGTGCTGGACTTTGTGGCTTGCT